CGGCGTATAAGACGACCCCCGACTTTTCAAAAGATTTTCACGGGTTGAAAAGTCGTCTTATACGCCGGCAAATACGGTAGGTTATTTGTTGTTCTGAATATGGGGAAGTATGACAGCAATATATAGGGAAAGAAATAATTGAGATGTCTTTTTGTAAGCAAAATACCAGCTTAAGCAAATAATTTTTCTTGGGTCAAGAGTGGGCTGTAACGTTGTCTGGAGCCGTTGCGGCGTATGGCTCGGCGCAGCCGCAGTGTGCCGATTCGCACTGGCGTGCGGGCACTAGGTCCTGGTCAGCCGCGGCGACAGCGGAACTCATGCATGCGCACTCGGGATCGCAGGGGGCGCCCCTGGCACCAATGACAGTGCAGGGAGCGCTATTTAAATCCGCTCTGCACTGACACTGGTTGCCGTATGGTCTTATCTGCTTGTTCCTGCTCCTGTTACCAGTTATTTAATTGTTGCCGACCCTGCTTGGTCCTGAACGTGCTGTCTTCTCCTGCCCTGACCCCTGGCCTGTTTGCCCTCTCTTTGGATACCCCCATTGGATCTGACCTCCTGTTACTGACCTGAGAGTGACCCGACTATTCTGTGCCTGCTGCCTTGTACCGCGCTGTCCCCACGGTTACCGACCCGGCCTGTCTGACCACGCTTCTGCTCAGCCATCCATCCATCCATCCTGCACGGACCCATCCACCTCTTTACGTCAGGCTCTTCTCCAGAATATACCTCTGGCGGATCCCTCTACCACGGGTGGGTGTACTCAGGGGCCGCGACCTGGTCTCTGTCTGCTCCAAGTCCATCCCCACCATCAGGGGCCCCGGTGAACAAGCAGACTGGGACTTAGACTCCGCGCTCTGGGGAATCCTATTCCGTGGGTTGCTAGAGGTACCGCCAGGCAGTGCATTACAAACATACTAGTAATGCAAAGAGAAAGAGCACGCAGAGACAGATTACACAGAACCTGACGTGTGGGCGTTTATTGGGGAGTTTTTTCGGGGTACAGACAATAGAATTATTAGTCCACAGATCAACACCAGACACAGTGACACAGTAAAGTTCTCAGGATGGCAATATGGGACAACAGGGGACTGATAGTCCACCAGGTTTAACAGGACAGAGCAGTGGGCGGACCGTGAGAGTTGGAGTCAATGGGGCAGAATTGGGCTCAGTCTTTCGGGCAGCATGGGGTTAGTCCACTTATTGGATTCAGGGAGTGGAGGGTTACAGTCTACACAGGCAGCGCAGGCTTAATCCACACAGGCAGCGCAGGGTTAATCCACACAGGCAGCTCCAGGCAGCTCAGGGTTATGTCCACACAGGGGAGTGATCCGGGCAGCAGGCTCACAGGCAGCAAAAGATTAAGTCCGCCAGGTTCGCGGGCAGCAAAGGGTTAATCCGCACAGAGGACTCACTGGCAGCAGAGGGTTAATCCGCACAGAGCTCAGGCTCACGTGAAGCAGAGGGTTAATCCTCCAGGCATAGGGATCCGGACAGCAGAGGGTATTCCTCACAGGCAGCAGGATCTGGACAACAGAGAGTTACTCCTCACAGGCAGAGGGATCTGAACAGCAGAGGGTTACTCCTCACAGGCAGAGGAATCTGGACAGCAGAGGATTGCTCCTCACAGGCAGAGGGATCTGGACAGCAGAGGGTTAATCCTAAAGGCAGAGGGATGCGGATAGCAGAGGGTTAATCCTCCAGGCATAGGGATCCGGACAGCAGAGGGTTATTCCTTACAGGCAGCAGGATCTGGACAGCAGAGAGTTACTCCTCACAGGCAGAGGGATCTGAGCAGCAGAGGGTTACTCCTCACAGGCAGAGGGATCTGGACAGCAGAGGTTAATCCTCCAGGCAAAGGGATCCGGACAGCAGAGGGTTAATCTTCCAGGCAGAGGGATCTGGCAGCGACTCCCAACAGAGGAGGTCAGTGAGAGGAGGGGGCGATCAGTAAGGAGACTGGTCGCAGCTCAGATCTCACTCACACAAGCAGGGGAAAGCAGCCAGGAACACACACCTGACCGGGACCCTGCTACGGCCTGTTATATGGAGCACGGGCGTGTTCCCGTTGCCGTGGTAATCCGAGACTTAGCTTGTGGTTACCATGGCAATGGGCTCGCCCCCCTGAACGCCAGCCCCACACAGGGAACGCGGCCTTTGTCTCCGCTAGGCACGGAGTGCGGGAGAGCAGGACCATGCCGTACCCGTGGAGACAGTGAGGGGGGTGAAAGGAGGGGAGCCTGCATGTGGATTCCCACAGCAGGGTGCCCGGCTTTCTGGTGCTCGGCCAGAGGAGCAGGATGCTCCCTTGGCAGGGGGCCAGATTGCTGGCAACAGAAGAGTGAGGGGCTGCTGTGGGGTGGCAGGCAGCAAACTGGAGGATGGGAGAGGGGGAGACCAGCTCTGTGACATGGGCATTGCAGTCATTTTGCACAAATACATAAAGTTTATTTGTAGAAAATTGCTATACAGCATATAAATTTAGAAACGTGAAAAAATCTATTTATTTTTCTTTTCTGATAGAAATATTCTTGATTGTGGAATATGTGTTTTGGTGGATTTCACTGAGCTCTCTACAAAGCCTGTTCTCTCTATCATAGGGAATATTTATTCCTCCCAATCAGGTCTGGTGCTTGAGCACACCCCCGCCTATTGATTGGCTCCAGTTGTGTGGAAGAAGGCAGGCCAGTACTGGACACGCCCCATTCGGTCACTACCTGGCTCCCTGTTACAGCTGGAGGATTGTGTGTGCCAGTGTGTGTACCAGATATGTATGGACCAGTCCTCTAACCAGAGACTGCTGACCGTCTGGGGTCCTGGGCTAATGTCATCACTTCTTATCCTAGGGGAGCAGACACTTCACAGCTACGTGGAATACTGTCATGTGTCTAAATGGTCATGTGTGGGGACACACTGAGACAATTGTGCAGAGTAAAGATACCATCATTCCCTGTGTATGAGGAGAGGGGGACTCTGCAAAGAAATGAAGAATTCATACAAGAGGTCCACACAGTGAGAGTGTCGGCCTGTGCAGCGCCCAGGTGCTCCTATGTGGCAGCGTGCCCTAGGCAACTACCTTGTTTGCCTAGTGGAAACTCAGGCCTTGCTCCCCATGAAGCCCTCAGAGAGAGAAGATTGGAGCTCACTTGTCTGAAAATTGGAGAGGCACTAGTGAAATGGTGAACTTAGTAAGGTCCTATCCATGACAGGAGAAGCATTTGGAATGGGTAAATTATTTGGAGAGTGGTACTGCAATATTGTGGTGGCTATTTGTTGTGCTGCTTTTGAGAGGTACAAGGAAGGGCATTTTTTATATAATTCTGAAAGATTTTTATAAAGAAAGAATCTTGCCCTTTCACAGCAGTCTTATTTAGAGGTTGCACTTGTTTCTATAGATCATGTGTTTTTTTAATATAAGCATACCACAACCAGTCATTTTACTGATACATCATATAAAATATTTCTTTCAAGTTAATTGTATAAGATAGGTTTCAGACTTCATAATGCACAGCAAGTTCACCATAATGTCAAACATCGCCAAGTAAAGCCTTTTTAAAGTATATGCAAACCCTCACCTTGTAAAACAACCCATTTAGTTTAAAATAGAAATGAAAGGCATAACATTTGTGTATACATATAACATTATAAATACTAATTTTCTCCTGTTATTATAAGATCATATACCCTCTAAGCTCTTTATGCAGCTTAGAGAAGAAAGCTGAAGGAAGAGAAACTGTAGGACACTGAATTTCCCAGTGAATGGCTGTGCAGGGGGACATGTCAGCACAAGTCTGATCATTGGAGGAGAGTGCACTTGCACTTGAGTTCCCAGCACAGCTACAGAACTGACCACATTGTGTTCTCATGCCTAGTGTAGTCAGTTTTTAATAGGAAAGTAGAGGGACTGGCAGGAACACCAGGGATTTCACACAAAGGAAGCAATACAAACAGAGCAGGATACTTTTTTCATACAAGTACATGGTACAGCAGGCACATATCAGGAATGTGAAATGTTTGGTTTGCATACTCTTTAAGACAAAATTTGTCAACATGTCTCATCCAATAGCACATCCGAAAAATAGGAGGATTGTTCTATAATTTTCATGACAGTAATTAGAACCACGCAAGTCATTGCTTTACACCCCCTCTTTGGCCAAAATAATATGTAGATCATCCATCAGGGAGAACAGAGGAAGCTATGTAATACTGTGCAAGCAAGGAAAGGAAAAAGCCTGCTGGGAAGAGCAAGGACTTGTGGGTGATGTAGTCCCCAGTGGGACTGAACTTGTGTTGCAGTTTTGCTCCTGTACTACAGATCCCAGCATTACCAGAGCTCTACATAAGACATAAAGCATGGACTGTTCCTGGGATTGGGGCAGATGCTGGGAAGATGTTGAAGAGCACACAAAGTGCAGCAGGCTGTTGATGGGATGATTTGCTGCAGTGTCAGGGATGCAGAGGTTGTCACTGACATCTTCTGGTCTGTGGGAACACCACTGTCAAGTATGATGTCGCCACCTGGTCCTGGGGAGAACATCACTGCAGCTAGCATCGCTGAGCCCTGAGGGAAGAGTGGGAGGGAAGTTGTCATTCTATACGTCAGTGAGAGGTCACTGATCATGCCTTCTGTATACTGCTTAACCACTTGCCTACAGGGCACTTATACCCCTTTTCTGCCCAGGCCAATTTTCAGCTTTCAGCGCTGTCGCACTTTGAATGACAATTGCGCGGTAATGCAACACTGTACCCATATGAAATTTTTATAATTTTTTTGAGACAGATAGAGCTTTTTTTTGGTGGTATTTAATCACCTCTGGGTTCTTTATTTTTTGCTAAACAAAAACAACTGAAATTTTAAAAAAACAAAACATTTTTTTCTTAGTTTCTGTTATAAAATGTTGTAAATAAGTGATTTTTTCCTCCTTCACTGATGTGCACTAATGATGCTTCAGTGATGGGCACTGATGAGGAGGCACTGGTAGGTGGCACTGATGGGCATTGACAGGCATCACTGATGGGCACTGAAGGAAGCACTCATATATGGCACTGATAGGCGGCACTGATAGGCGGCACTGGCTGGCACTGTTAGATGGCACTGATATGCGGCACTGATGCACACTGATAGGCGGCACTGACTGGCATTGATAGGTGGCACTGAAAGGCAGCTCATATGGGCACTGATATGTGGCATTGATGTGCACTGGTAGGCACTGATATGTAGAATTGATGTGGCACTGATGGGCGTTGGCAGGTGGCATTGATGAGCACTGACAGGTGGCATTGATGGACACTGACAGGTGGCACTGATGGGGCTACACTGATCATCAGGGCACACTGATCATCAGTGCCCTGATGATCAGTGTACATGTCCCCTCTGAGTAATGCCAATTACTGGCTCTCCTCTCCTCACGAGCTGTCAGTGTGACAGCTCATGAGGAGAGAAATGCCGATAACTGGCATCTCCTTATTTACAATCAATCAGCTGTGATTGGACACATCTGATCACATGACAGAGCTGACGTCTTCGGCTCTGGGGGCACGCACGTGCGGTTAGAGTGGGAGGACATCATATGACATCCTCCCAGAACGAGAGAACCGGCTTGCGCCCGTCGTCTCCTTATATGGCGGGCGGGAGGCGGTTAAAGGAACAGTATCGCCACTTTGCACACCTTTTAGGCACTGGGTTTGCGGGACTCATGTTTGAGTGCTCCAGTGCTGAATTTGGGCCCCAACGCACTTGCTAACTTTCATCATCCAATCATGTGGAATGAAAATATATTTTTTTAACACCTTCCCACCCGGCCTATAGCAAATTGATGGCCGGGCAGGACACTCGCCGTTGTGACTGGGCATCATATTATTATTATTATACAGTATTTATATAGCGCTAAAAGGTTTGCTCAGCGCTGTACATTATAGTGGGGGACATAACATGAGACAATACAGTAACAAAAACAAAACACGAGGGATTCAAGGGCAATGCTCTTTCGAGCTTACAATCATATGACGTCCTGTCAAAATCAGCTGCTCGCGGGGCTGCGCAGCGGCGCGATCTTTCACCGGCTGTGCCCACAGGACACAGCCGATGACATATCACTACACAGGCCCATTGCCAGTGTCATGTGACCGCTGTGACCAATCACAGCAGAGCACATGCCAATTGTATACAATGAATGGCTTCCTGTCATGCCATCCATTGTATACAATTATGTTGTTAGCTGTGACTGGTCAAAGCAGTCACATGACACAGACAGGGCCATTCACAGCCCATCTGTATCATGTGATCAGCTTTGCCCAGTCACAGCTAATCACAACAAAAGACTGAATGAATCGGTTTCATTCAGTAACAATGATTGCAAATATCAATGAAGTAGATTGGTATTAGCAATCATAATGTGTAAAAAAAAAAAAAAAAAAAAAAAAAAAAGAAAAATCCCGATTACTTGCCCAGATTAGTTCAATGTTACTATGGTAATATTGTATTGCTTTGGTCACAGTGTCTTGAAAAAAAAATAGTAAAAAAAAGAAAAAATAATGTAATACAAAATAAAAAAAATAATAGAACAATTTGAAAAAAAAATACAAATTATTATTATTATTATTTTCACCACAGAAATGTAGCAGAATACATTTTGACCTAAATATATGAAGACATGTTATTTTTGTGCAAACTTTTATAACGGAAACGAAGAAAAGTGCAGTTTTTTTCCATAGTTTCAGGTGTTTTTCGTTTTATTTAGCAAACAATAAAAAAAAGTGGTGATTAAATACCACCAAAAGAAAGCTCTATTTGTGTGAAAAAAAAAAAAAATTTCGTATGGGTACAGTGTTGCATGACCATGAAATTGTCATTCAGCTGAAAATTGGCCTGGGCAGGAAGGGGGTAAAAGTACCCGGTATTGAAGTGGTTAAATTGTCCTTGCATGTGGTTCAGTATTCTTTGAAAAGTGAATTTTCACCACTTTTACTAAGCTAGATATAAAATAGTTTTCTTCTACTACAGGGGTGTCTAACCTTTTGATTTTCTTGGGACACATTAGAAGAAGAGCAAGTGTCTTGGGCCAGACATAAAATACATCAACAATAAGGATAGCTGATGAGCAGAAAATTCAGGCAGATCACAAGATAACAATCACTGATATACAGTAGTAGGGATGTCCTTGATATTCGAGTCGAGAAGGCTCGACTCGAACATCGGGTGTTTGTGTGTTCTGTGAACACACAAACGGTTAGGGTGTTTGGTGGGCAGTTTGCCACTCCCCACAATGCACTGACAAGTCAGATGCAATGATTTGGCCAATCACTGCACAATGCACTGTGAGAGCCATGATTGGCCAAAGTCTCGATGACACACCCCACACTATATAAGACTGCTTACACAGCAGCCTTGTGTAGTGTGTTGGTGTTATTGGTAAGGTTAGTTAGTGGTGTGTCAGGAGACTATGTTGTGTAGTCAGTGAGTGACAGTGTAGTGCAGTGTTGAGAAGAGCAGTGTAGTGGTGTCATTGTTTTTGCAGCACTTCTGCATCACCGCTGTTCCCATTTATTTTATTTTTTTGTTCTTTTTTTTTTATTTTTGCATCATCAGGTTCTGGTGCTGCATCATTACTGTTCCTCATTCTGTCCTGCAGGTGTTCCTCTTTCTGTGTCAGCAGTTGTTTCCTTATTATTTGCTTTTTTAATTTTTAATTAATTAATTTATTTATATATTGCTGCAGCAGCACTAAAACTATTTACAGAATAATTGCTGTTCCCCCTTCTGCATCGCAGGTGTTCCTCTTTCTGCATCAGCAGTGATTCCCACTTTTTTTTGGCTTTCTGCGGTTTTTTTTTTATTACATTTTTCTTTCTTTTTGTTGTTGCAGCAGCAAAATCAATTTTGGGCACAATAACTGTTCCCCCCTTCTGCATTGCATGTGTTCCTCCTTCTGCATCAGCAGTGGTTCCTTTTTTTTTGGCTTTCATTTTTTAACATGTATTTTATTTTTTTTATTTTTTTTTGCAACAGCAGCATCCATAATTGCTGTACCCCCTATTTTTCTGTATTAAAACCAATAAAATAAAATGGTTTATAGTGCACCTAGCACAAAAGTATTGCACCCAAGCACCCAAATTTCCATCCCACACTACTAAATAAAAAGTTATAAAAATGCCTGAAAAAAATCCCCATAATGTCTGAAAGGCCAACAGGACAGACAGATGCTCAAAGGCAGCTAAAAGAGGGCAAGCAGCCTCTGTGTCCACAGTGAAAAGTGGTGGTCGTGGACATAGTGTATCCTCTGCAGGTAGGGCACGCCTGTTCTCTTTTTCCGGTGCGGCCATGTTATTGAGCCACAACATGCAGAAAGGTGGTGAAGTGGATAGCTAAGCCATCCTCATCCTCCGTCACCCAAGCTCATACTAGTTTGTCTTACAACGCAGCTGCCAAAGCAGCCTATTCAACAGGCTTCTTGACCACAGCTATTCCTTCTGTAGCCCCATCATCATTCACGGAGGAGTCACCTGACATATTCGATCATAGTGTCAGTTACATGCTGTTGGAGGATGCGCAGCAATTTGAATGCTCTGATGTTGGTTCCCAGGTTGAGAAAGAGAGTGACGTGTGCCTAGAGAGAGGAGGTGCCAATGACGGACAAGAAACTGGCAGTCATGTTCCCCCAGCCACAGCATACTGCCAAGTTGGCTCCAGTGACATGGAGGGAGGGGAGGCTAAGGTCACTGACTGTACTTGGGTGCCTGAGAGAACAGAGGAGGAGGCACAACTCCAACTAGGTTGGATGTCCTCCTGGGGCAGGCGTAAGGACAGCCATCTTTCGCATCACAAGACAGTGCTCCACAGGTGGGTGCTGCCAACTCCCTGCTGACTTCCAAAAGTTCATTGATATGGGCTTTTTTCAACATGTGCAGCAGACCGCAGCATTGTTGTTTGCAATCTCTGTCTGAAACGGATCAAGCATTGCCAAAACACCAGCCACTTGGGCACCAAATGTTTCACAAGACATATGACGACCTGCCATGCAGCCCGTTGGAAACAGCACCACCGTTGCTGAACCGTAAAAACCGTCCCACCCATCCACATGCTCAGCGTCTAAATGCTAGCTTGGCCAAATTGTAGTGTTACAACTGCTGCCTTTCTAGTGAACGCTGCCCCCTTCCGTGAATTTGCGGAATGTGCTATATCACAGTGGCAGGTTCCAAAAAGAAATTTCTTTATACATAAGGCAATTCCAGCTCTTTGTCATCCTGTGGAAGGCAATGTTTTGGCCTCGTTGGACAGGTCAGCAGCAAGGTCCACATTACTGCTGACATGTGGTCCAGCAGGCATGGTCAGGGACGTTACATTTCCTTCACGGTGCACTGGCTAATTCTGCTGGCAGCTGGGAAGGATGCAGAATAGGGTTCAGTGCTGGAGCTTGTTCCGCTACCATGCCTCCAAAAATCTGGTGATGATTCTGCCACATCTATCTGCTCCACCCCTTCCTCTTCCTCTATGGCCTATTCTGCTGAATTGTCCTCTGAACCAGCAGTGCTTTCTAAGTGTTCAAGGGACTACGCAAGTAGTCAGACTAAAAGATGCCATGTGGTGCTTCAGCTGGTCTTGTCAGGGACAAGAGCCACAACGGGCCAGAGATTCTGTCAGATCTGCATAGGCAGGCTCAGAGGTGGTTGACACCACAGCAGCTTGAGCCAAGAATGGTTGTATGCGACAATGGCACCAACCTTCTCTCTACTGTCATGGAAATTTTGTATTGTTGGTTGAACTTTAAATGTGTCATATATGAGTGTTATTCATATGTCTCTCGTGTGGCTTAATTAAAGCTCTGAAGGCTGCAATTGGGCCATGCGCATGTACAATGTATTTATTACAGTACTCAGCTCGGTAATGGATGAGATGGCAGATCTGCGCTTATAGACCGGCATGTATACCACCACGGCATTCGATGCGGATGCCGCCGGCGGTAGGCCGCGGGCCTGTATCCACATATCAGCAGCATAGTACCACATGGACTCCGTGCCGCAAGGCGCCAAGCAGTACGAACTCCGCATGTAGGCTTATGCATATCTTACAACCCATTACCAACCTGAAACTGTATCTGGATGGATGTGTTTTAATAAAGATCGTATCGGGCCCATCCAGGTACAGACTGGTGTTTAGCCTAGGGAATGCTTGTACAAAGAATTTGCATACCAATAGGAGCTAGTAGGATAGGAAGTATGCTCTCCATAGAGGGCTCATGGGGGGAAGGGGAGGAAGTCTGCTGACCTCAGAGGGCTCATGGGGGAGGACCAGTGATAGATAATAGGAAAGGTTATGCTCCAATCGGAATGTATATCCTGTGTATAGGCACGCCCCATTGCATTGTTCGGTGGGAGGGGATTGACCTTTATTCATGTGGGG